TCAACTCAGCCTGAACAGGTCCCTGAGCTAGTGGTGGTGTCTTTGGTTGGTTTCCTATAGCTTAAACATGCTCCCTCAGTGGAAAAGGGTTAGCATTGTTGAGGTTTACAACTGGTGGTACAACTTGAGGATGTTCCATATCCTCTCTTTCTTTCAACTTTCTAGCTTGTGCTTCTGCTTTACTCTGTCTTTCTAGTCTGCCTATGTCAGGAACCAAGTCAAGAAGTCCTCCCTCTTGGCTTCTCCTTTTCATACACTGCAAGAAAAATAGAGAAGAAACAACAAACACAAAAACAGAACAAAAATGCATAATAAAATGAAGATAAAAATGAAAATTTTAGTCTTAACAAAATGCTCAAATCTAATACCTAAATGCGCAAGTTTCCCCGGCAACGATGCTAATTTGATGAGAAGGTTTTCTATAAAAAAAAAATCTAGCAAGCTAACAACCTAACTCATAATTTAATTGTAGTAAGCATAGGGTTCGAACACAAGGAAGACTAGAAATTAGGGTACTAAACCATGGACAATTTTTGTTAAGCTAAAACATAAATAAGAGTTTGAATTGGTTCGTCTAAGCTAAGCGGAAATGCAGTAATACGTAAAATGAACAGAGCAAGAACTAAATGTAAATGCAATGATAGTGAAGGCATTGAGCAACAGGTTGGCAACTGATAAAGGAGCAATAAATCATGGCTAATAAAGTTAGGGGTCTCGAGATGAAGGTCCAGTTTACAAGCATGGAGTACGAAATCAAACTAGTCCACTTTCGTGACACTAATCACTTTGTTGAGTACAAATATCTAACTACTTTCGCTTCTAGATATAGATACTCTCCAAGCATAAACGGTCAAGCTCCAATAAGCTCACTTAGCGCGTTAACAACAACTTTCGTGTTCAAGGATTACTAAGCCAAGCAAAAAGTCGTTCATGCATTCTCACAAATACCTTTCGGACAAGGGAACACCTATCATCACGATCCGAAAAACCATTCAAGAACCAAGCTTTAAGCTCAACCTAAACTTGAGAACACTTCATGGATGACTTGAAACAATGTTAGCCACTTTCTAAAGCCCCTAAATCTACCAATCCGTAGCTCAATAAAGAGACTACTCACCCCTAGTTACGGATCAAGCCATGACCAAGCTAGAGTGCTGTGTGTATGGTAAAATGCAGAAATGAAAACGATTCTCAAACAAAGATTAAAACTTTAAGCTAAAAATTGAAACTTTATAATGCAAAGAACTTAGAACATCAAAGTATCGATGCTCTAAGGGTCGATTACCACTACAACGTAAAATGAAAGTTTCGAAAACCCTAAAGGAAAGAAAAACAAAAACTTAGGTTTTTCAGGAATTAAGAACATATTTATAGCCCCTAATAACAGTACCCAGGTCGACCCAGAAAGAAAACGGATCATCTCGCAATAGTTAATGGTTGACCCAAAAAAGTCAACAAAATACGATAAAGATCGGTCACTCCATATAAGGGAAGTCACCGATATCTGGTGCCGTTCTAGTGATTCATCCAACAGTCGTCTCACGATATTGCATCCTCGTCATGCGCAGGTTATCGGTCTTTTTCATCGGTTTGTGTCGATATCATGGGATATCGATGTTTTCAGCTTATTCTTCAGCCGATATGGCACGCTTGATCCAACGGTCGGAGATTCTTGATGCTCCATCGTGACAAGAGGATAACCTGTGACATATGTGCACTGGTTTGGGGGGCAGTGACATCCTGATTCTCAACCCAAGTCACGAACTTTAGTGTATTGGTTCAGTCTCCATCAATCCGCTGTTCCAGTGCGTTCTATCGGTTAACCATGATGATTGATGACCGATTTCTGCTCCTCTGCTTCCTCTGTTAACTCCAGAACCTTGCAATTGCCCTTGCTTCACTCCTCAGCAACTCACTCCAATAGTCCAGGCTTTGATAAGCCATATAACTCCAATTATAAGACCTTAAGATGTACAAGAAGAGAAATATGTACAAACACTAACCTAAGACCTTAAGATGCAAACTTAAGTTAAACTAGAGTTAAAGAGCTTCTATATGATGCAGAATGATGCTAAACTAAGAATAAAGAATGCAATTATGTACATAGATGATGTAAATATTTGGACATATCACAATTCTACCTAAAAACAATACGTAGAATCCAATACTTATTTCATTTACCGGCTGAAACCAAAATAATGATGAGCAAGACGGATGTGAAACATATGGATTTGAAAGTCCTAGTCG